CCCCCCGGCCAGCTTTCCCCCGTTTATGTACTGAGCATGACGTCACATGGTATGGAATGTCCCTTTGGCCAGTTTGGCTGTGCCCCCTCCCAGCTTCTTGTGCACCTCCAGCCTTCTCAGTCGGTAGAGCATGGGAAGCTGAAAAGTCCTTGACTTAGTATAAACATTGCCTAGCAACAACTAAAACATCGGTGCGTTATCAACTTTGTTCTCATCCTAAATCCAAAACACTGTACCAGCTACTAGGAAGGAAATTAACTCTATCCCTGCCGAAACCAGGACAATATTATATCCAATTTTCAGGTCTCAACTCTGCTAACATTTGAAAACATGAGTAGCAAACAGGGACAGTCTCCCAGTATTCAGGATCAGGTTTTACAACATGAAAGCAAATATCCCTAAAGAACTTGTGCAAATAATGTAAGATAACAATAAAAAGGAGTATGTTAATTTCAGTTAAAAACTAAGCAGTGGAATTTTATACTCCTGAAAACTGCTTTATATACACACACACAAAAAAAAAGGAGTGCAGGTAAGTATTTCATGCTCCAAAACATAAGATGCCCCAATAGTAGCATAATATGTCAAAAACCAGTATGCGATCACTCAGTGAAAAACGCATTACTATGAAGCACATTACAACCAGAAGGGTGCCACATTAAGTAGCCTGTATCACATTTGCATCTGAATGCGTAGATCATTCATTACATTACAGGAAATATCTCCTACATTCATCAAAACACAAAAACATGTGAAAACTTACTATCAGACTCCTTCAGCGAAGGTGCACCAGTCAGGGAGCTTAACCCACTTTTTAGAGGCGGTGCGTCAGAAAGGGATGCTAGACCTCCTGCTTTATTAGCTTCAGTTTTCCTAAAACAAACCAAGTAAGTACTTCACAGAGCTGTAAAATGTGCATAGTGACTTTCTTTTCTATTATTTACGAAACTGTCATAAAACTAGAACAGCAATATTTACAGCAAAAAGAGCAAGGGAAAAGGACTATTACATTCTGCCATCTTAAAAACAGTAGACAGTTTACCAGCACAAGTGTCAAGCAAGAAAGTCACTTTCTCACCTATGCAAAGACTTCTGCCTGTCTTCTTTCACAGACAGAGCTCCTTCATCAGCATCACTATTTTTATCAAGGGGCCTTTCATTATCCCCACATGTAAATGCAGCCAAAAGAAGAAAGATTCAGATATAAATCAATATTTAAATTAGTTTGTTTTATAACTAAAAGAGATCATGTCTGACAAAACTATTAATCCTAAGAGCAGTCAGTTCACAGAACGAAAACCTCTCAGAGCAAGATGGATCTCATCATCACGTGTTAAAGTTCACTTGGCTACTACCTATTCCATTCATATATTTAAAATGTTGAGTTCAAATACTACTTGCAAGTAAAGGATGAAGAAACACTATTAAAAAGAGATCAAGATTTTCACATTTAGTATTACCAGAACTGTTTGTTACTGTGATTCCATTCCTGTTAGTAATGGACATCATTTGAATCATTCATTGTATCTATATCACCAAAATATCATGCATACCATCACGTTCAAAATTTTGAAGTGTTTTAATACAACGAGTCAGAGACCTAGGGGAAATGAGAGCTTGGATCACCCCTTACTTTGTCCTTAGTAACTGCTTATTCCCTTCCTCTCTAATGCACCCTTCTTACAGGAATGGGCAAAGCTCCCATAAGGAATTTACCTTTTTGCAAACCAAGCGATGCTGGCACCTCTCCTACATACTCATCTCTTGGGACTCAGGCATACCAGCACAACATACCACAAAAGGATTCCACCTGAAGAATATGTTCTTTTTTCTCCTCTAGAGGAGCTGCCAGGAGGGTAGAAGTGAAAGACTCAGCAGAGACAGCTCAGTTACAATTAGTTGCTAGCTAAGTTCAGCAAACCTTATTATGGAACATTACTATAATATCTACATCACAATAACATTATGAGGTACAAATTACTACTTGGTGGACTGTGACTATTACAGACACATAATTTGGAAATATTTTTTTCTGTAGAGTTTCTTTACTAGGAAAAAAAAAATCCTTATTTTACTGAATAATTAAGAGTCTTTTTCTTGGATGGTCTTTTTAAAGAAATCCAGTTTACCCAATTTCAAAGTGAATTTCCCTTCCTGTCATGTGAAAATGCTCAAACAATAAGAAACTAGTTTATCCAGAAGTTTTTCCAGCCTTTTCTACTTTTCCCAACTTAGCATTTAAACCTATTTTATGGCAACACAACCACTTGCTACAATGGTTAGACTTTGGTTGAAGGCTAGTTAAATGAGCTCTTGAGTAAGGAGCAAATGCACTCAGATACAGTTTTAATCTTGATATTTCCAATAAGAAAGAGAGAAAAAATACCATAGTAGGGTTATTTGTAACACAGTATTTTCCAGAGAAAAACCACTAATCTGAAGAAAAAAATTCTGCTTTTATATATATCCAACTAGAGCTGTATTATAAATAATCTTTCTCAGAGAGTCCAATAATTTGCTAGAAAGAGACCTAGTTTACCTGGCATGATTGCTTTGTGCTGTACCAGAATGACCCCATTCCAAGAGTAAGCATCTACTGTAGCAATAATACAAAAAAGTTTATACTGTTCTACCCACTATCGACATAATTGGGGGGAAAAGGCCAACATGAGGGGAGCTACTGTCAAACTGACTTGCAAACACTTCTCCAACCTCTTCTGGTAATCTCTACTAAGCTAGAGCAATTCTCCCATTACTTGAGCACAGCAAAAGAACACCATGAAATGATCTTGCAGCATTTCTCAATAGAGATATTTAAACTAAGCTTCAAGATAACGCAACGTGATAACACAAAGATAAGTTTTTCAGTTTTATAACAAAGCTGTTGTATAGTTCAGTCACTAGTTCTTGTTTCAAATGGTATTTTTCAGTTATCAGACTCCACAGATGAACAAAAAAAATGCCCTTCAGAAGTGTCTGCAAAATTGCCATATGCAGAAATAACAACACTTCACTGAAAACATAGAACTGCACACAAAAGGTGCTGCAATGTGAAGAGGAAACCCTCAGCTGTGAGAAAACTTTCCTTATTCTCAGAATTTATGGAGCTAAAGCACTATCCCTGTCATTGTCCACTTCCTTCCTTAGTACTGATCACCACTGTAGCTCTGCTGCATGAAGAGACACTGACATCTGTGCCTCATATATGTTCATTTCACCAAAGAAATAGGCTGGGGACATTATATAGTCTAACTGATGCACCTTAAAGTGATACGTTTTTCCACCCATGGTACATCCAAGAGATCGCAGATGACACTGTGCATTTCAAAGAATAGAATCTTAGAAATGCACATTTCAGAAACAAAAATGTTCCAGAACAGATCTAAACACTCGCATTTACAAAGTGTGAATAATCAAACATCAGCTAGCTCTCAAAGGTCTGGCAAGCATACTGAGGACAAAAGAAACCTGTATTAAGTAGAATATCCATGTTACTTACCAGCCATAAGTTCTTTCTGGTTTGGGTATAGGATCATCAAAAAAAGAATCTCCCTCCACATCATCTTCATCCACACCTGGATCACTTTTTTCTTTGGCATTTAAGTCTTTGTTTTCTAGTTGAGGATCTAGTTTTGTTTCATTAGGCAGAAAATGAATGCTTCTTTTGCTTGCTTCCCCTGATGAGACACTTGTATCACTTTGAGTGGTTTCAGCCACCTTGAAAGATAAAGAAAAAAGCCCTTACTGAAAGGAATAAGTAATTTCTCTTGAAGAAAACCCATATAAACTGGATTTATGTCCTATAATACTGTAAGTGCTAATATAAACAACACAACATATAATATACTCCTACCATCACTTTTTAGAAAGTTAGCTCAGATTTTAGTACTTCTCAGGAATTTGTTAGTATCATCAAGAATCACACAAGAAAAAAAAGTTTATCACTTTAGAAAGGAAGTGTTCTTTATTGTTGCTGCCATTAAAAAAATTTTGTTCCATCCTCTGCATTGTTTTGCTATCTAGATCACCTCTATTATAAAAGCAACCAATTTAAAAGATGTTGGTCATCAAATAAGGAAATCTACATGCAGACTGATTCTTACCTCCTAGCTTTGAATATAGGGGGGTTTGTTTGTTTTAAAGCATCATGTAACTTTCAGGCTGTATTAATATTATTTTGCAACTCATCTATAAACAAATGTTGTTAGTTACAGCCACCATCTTCAAAAGAAATCAATTTAAACCCATGCAAATTACTGTAACTTCCATATTAAATGGTAATCTCTGCAATATAATATTAGGTTTTGAAGCAGCAAGCATAAGACAACTGCAGTTAATGACACTTTCTCCCTCCAAATAGTAAAAACAAAAATGACAAACAAGATACTTGAAAAGTACATAACTTTCAGTCTTTGTATCACACTTATGGCTCAGTCCTACAGACACTCAAGCTTGTAAGGACTATTCTATATGCTAACTTTAAGATCAAGTAATACAGCTCAAGTCATATCTTTGCAAAACTTTGTAACCCAAAGAACAATATCGAAATTTACCTAGATAATTAAGCTGTTGTGAAAAAATTGATTTTTAAACAATAGCATTTTGCTACTTAGCAAGCAATACTGCAATTTTTATCTTCCCCTAGACTTATTAAAATTAAGCCAATGAAAAGATCTATTTATTTCACTAACTTCCTTCCTGCACACTAAGAATAGCAACAGTTTTGAACCAAAACCAACAGTATTGTTTAATCCATATAACCAATATGTAGGTTGCACTGTCACAAGTATTTCTTTATGAGCCATTAAGTTTCATTCAGAAGGCTGAAGTAAAATTTTCAAACTGTAGGCCATGGAAGTTGAAAAAGGCCTACCAAGGTCATTTTATCTCAGTCACAGAACCACATTCAACTGCTGGCAGCAGCTTAGTTCTTCTAGGACAAGAAAAAGTACTTATACCTGTAAGTGGTAGTAACAACAATATTTTAATTTCATATCCTAGAGGAACAGAATTGTTGAAAATTAAGAGCTTAGTGATACCCTGACTGGAGTAAAAAAGAAGTTACAGCTACTTTTCTGTCCTGGGCCCTGAGGGAGTGAGCTGCTGCTATCTTATCTGAGAAACTAGAAGCACAACAGTTGGCCTTTGCTTGAACTCATATATCAAAGTTTTGCTCAAGTGAAACAACTACTTTCAAATTGTAGTGATAGGTTAACCATGGCTAAGGGTTCAAAGAGCAACATGCCTACCTTGCGTTTCAGACTAATAGTGTTAATAAGTCAGATTGTGGTTTCACACTTGCACTTAAACAAATGTAATTCTTCGCTGCTGCCAAGAGCTGTGGTCTTGGTCTCTCCTAGCACACTCCCTTCTACGTTACATCTATTGGTTGCCAAGTCACAGTCAGAGCCAGTTCAGCTCACAGGTTTGCTGAAAAACCGCCAGAGAATCTCAAGTTTCAATCAGGAAGTCGAAACTGTTCAGGTAACTTCCATCTTGCTCCAGCCGGGACTGGCTAAAATTTCCTCCTTCTGCTTTATTTTTACTCCAAGTATGTTGCACAGGCAGAATATTCTCCCATCCTGCCCTTGCCAAGGAGAGAGAGAACTGGCACGGGGCGGGAAATCTAAAAACTGTAGTCCCATTAAGATATCCACTACTTATTCTTAGAGGAGTATGTAGTCTGACCAACAGCTGTTGCTGTTTCTATGAAGAAACATCTGTACACAAACCAATTTTCCCCCATTTCTGAGATAAATGTATTTTCATGGAGGATTCAGCAATACATTATGAAAAGCATTTCCAGAACATGTTCATCTATCTCCCACTGCAATGGAATTATGACTTGCTTGCCAAGGAAGACGGGTATAAAAAAAAAATATAAAAGCCTGATCATAAATCCCAACTTGTTGGAAATTATATTCTACTTGCAACCTCATCACTTCAGAAAGAACATGTAAATGAAAGTGTTCTTATCACCACCTCAGCTGCTGCACACCATAAGTATTCAATTCTAAACTGTGGTGTTCCAACAATGCACAAAACTCTCCTTGAAAAAAGGAAACATAGTTCAATGAATGATCTTTTACCACACTTTAATACTTCTTGTTCAGAATTAAATACTCCTATCCGGTAGTTTCTCTAAAACTCAGACCTTAGAATAAACCTTAGAATCACTTTCTTGTGTCCATATATTTATTGGGGATTAAGTATATACACATTAAAAAAATGCCTCTATTGACTGGACCAGTCACAATCACTATCATTAAGCTGAAGTCAGTCAATAGGAGAAGCTTTTGTATCTATGGACTAACGCACCTAAATAGTTGATAGCAGCCTGAAAAAGAATTCTGACAACCTCAACACAAAGAATACAATAAATTGCAATACAGTATCACTTCTGGAAAATAGCACTAATGCTTGGAAATCATTCAGCCATGGTTTATATTTATTTTCTACGCAGTTTAGACAGCACTATTTGAGCTGGGTACAGGAGTTCCTGTTTTGTACAGGCCCAAACAATTGTGATAAAAGAACTAAGACTAATTTATTCGTGTTATCATCTTAAACAACAGGAATGACTGTTACTACTCCACGACAACTTCTCTAAAGCAGAGATTCCAGGCATAACTTAAAACTCATTCTTATCAATCTAGTTTCCTAATGAAACAAGTCTTAAGATATTATACTCCTCTGTGCTTGTTTCTCTCTCTCTTCCCCTAACTAATATATTTTGGACTGGCTGGCTAAGTTCAACCACTGCAAAAAGGGTAGAAGTTAAAAAAAAAAAAAACCCACCAACCTGCGTAACTGCGCTGCAAAAAGCTCTGTCAAGAACAGACATAAAGGAATAAGATTCATACCAGACAGAGGTTGGACCAGCCTCAAGACATGTGCATGCACACACAGAAAAAAACATATGAAACCTGGTTCAATTTACAAGCTACTGGAACTACGTTTTTCCTCCTCTAAACAACTATTCCTGAGGAAAAGCCATATAACAAACACTTGGCTCTTCTCTTTCTGACCTACTTATTTCAAATAAAGTAATTTAAACCCAAACATGAAAAGGTGGCATATGCAAGGGAGAATGGAATATTTATGACTTCTAACTCATCATCAGTAGTTGTTCTTAGCTAATCTAGAAACACCCTAAGCCAAAAGTAGGGGCTCAGGTATGAAGCAACAGTATTAGTAGCATTCAGAATTTTTTAGTGGATTTTTGTTTTAAAAGCTGGTGCCAAACAAGAATTATCTTCTCCTAAAGCAGGTCTGAAATTATTAGAATTTCCATTCAAAGGTCAGTTACAGAAATATTAGCGTTTAAGGTACTATCAACAAGCACAGCTATTAAAGTAACTTAATCTTGAAATGAACCTTGCTTTTCAAATTGTACAGTTTTCTGGTTTTGCATGGCAAAAAACTAAAGAACTGGAATAAAAACGAAGCAGATTCAAATTGAACTGTCTTTTTATTTGCTTTTATCCTTATCATTCCCTCTCCCAAATGAATAAACTAACAACAAAATCCATGCAGAGCTATATTTCTTAGCTTTCATTAGTGAGTTGGAAAGCTTCTAAGTTATTTCCAGTAATCTTGAAAAAAAGCTATTAAAACTTTTTATGTGATCAGATTACATCAATAATTTGAACAAACTTCAGTACTTGAATCAGGGTTGTTTTGCTTTGGGTTGGGCTTTTTTGGGTTTTGGGTTGGTGGTTTGTTGTTTTTTTTTTTTTTACTGGGTGCAGTGCGTAGCTGGTTTCTTGGGGAAAAGAGGCTTAAGTGATCATGCCCCTTTCCATGCCCTACACTCTCCCATAATTCTCAACCTGTTGATCAGTTCTAATCAAATGTAAAGGACTATTAGAGGCCTGGAAGATGTTAGTTAATACAGATTTTGTGCTAACAGGAAGCAGAGAAAAGAAAGTCACAGGTCCCAACACAAAGACGGTTGTATCCTAACACCTTATCAATCCCAAGCAGTAATCAGCCAGCTGCCTGATACACAGACAAGTTAGCTCCAACCTGTCTGTGTCTCACAGAGACTCTGCGTATGCGCTGTCACCTACCCAGTCAGAAAGGTACAGGACTTTGAAGATCATTTAAGTGAATGCCATTGTATCCGCAGTTTCATAGGAGTTCTCTCTTTCACTGATCTCATGTATGTTATGTAGCTTTTTCATTATATATAAACTATCTTACCTTATTTGGTATAGGGTGTGTACTTGATCTTCCATCAGATGATTTTGATGTGGGGCACAGGCTATCACTTAGAACTGGAGACACCTAAAAAGTTTCAGACACACTTATTAAAAATATATTGAATTTTGTCATAATACCATCAAACAAGAAACAAGGCTACCATCCTCACTCACACAGTATGCAAACTGTCACACTGTGATGCTATGTTAGGAAGTCTATGACAACTACTTCTGAATTTCAGCTTTTGTTGGGGTACTGAATGCATGTCAGGTGCAGAAAATTTTCTTTCGAGCCACAATCACAACAGAGACTAAGCAAATGCTATTGGTTGGATTTCATTCATTTAATTAAAACTTAATTATATATTCCATTAAGATATTACTGTTATTGCCTTCAGGTAGTTCAGTATTTCAGTAGTTTCATATACTTAGTTTTAAATACATACGTTTTCAGAACAGCTTTAAAGCTTTTGACAAAACCAATTCTAGGCTTTTCAGGTCATATTAAAATTAGAAGTCTGCCAACGAAAATAGGTACAGCTAAAAGTGTTATCAAACCACACTAGAAATTAGAAAGTAAGTGACACTGTTTTGTGTCATTTATCTGGGTTCACTCTGTGTTACTATATTGTAGCAGAGTATTAGTAAAGAGTACTAGGGTGGCATTAAAAGTAATACAATAGTCATAATCTTTATCTTTCAGCATTGTTTTCTGATAAGCTATGTTGAAGGCATTTCCTATTATACTAACTATAATAAAGACTTGAAAGAGTATAATACTACAACAGTAGCCAAGTGTCCTTAATTTCAGTTTATTTTATCATTGAAATGAAAATGAATAAAGAATTATGAAGAAAGAAATTACATGTTAACACTACTTACTTCACTGCCTGAAATCTTTTTCTGCTGACATTTTCTAACAACCTCCAACAACAGGGGACCACCCACAGTACCTTCCGCTTCTATAATTCCCAAATCTCGAGCTAAGTTTTCTCGACCATCAAGGCCATTTAGCTGGAGGAAAAAAAAACATTAAAAAAAAACCGCAACACAGAAATAACTGTCAGAAAACACAATATATATTTTGTATTATAACTCCCAAAACTTTTTGGTCTTATTTAACATGGCAATATTTTGATGTGTTAAATAAGTGATTATTTAAGACTTCCTGTTGCATGTGGACTAAAGTAACGATAGCCAATTGCATCATTTATTTCTGATCCGTACCTGAACTTATCACAGACCATCCAAAGTTGTTTTAAATATGCAAGTATTCATAATTAGCATGCTTCAGGATTTAAGGATTTATATGGTCAAGTTACTTTAGCCTATCACATTTAAAAGTGGATCCCAGGACACCTAGCCAGTGGTTCCAGCAAATTCACAGATGATGGAGAGTCCCCATTCCTGTGCATATAGAAGTACACCAGCATAGGTCAACACTTACTTTCAGTCTCTGTTTCACTTTAAAAGTGTATTTTTTTCTTTAATTTTTTCCTGTCAATTTTTTTTTGGCTGATATTGAATTACTTTCATCCCTGTTTCTGTCCAAACCCATGTTTTTTTAAAAACTGAACTTCACATTATAGCAGAAGCAGAATGCTGCAGTAAACCCAAGTTGGTTGGCATAACCTCAGAACGGCAATACTGCAAAGGGCACCCATTCGTCTTGAACTCTTACGATTATTTAGTGACACTTCCTATCAAAACACTGATCAAACAAATACTGAAGCAAGCCACCACTAGTCAAGCACACTGAAACATGTAGGATAAAGAGACAATACAACAGACTGCTCAGAGACAGGGGCTAGTAGAGGAAGACAAAGTAAAATCTTTCAGCACTATACACAGCAGTCTTGGCCAACTTGCTTAACTTTGGCCAGATTTCATATATGCACTGCATTAGGTGAAAGACTTTTACTGGAAAAAGGAAGGGGACATTTCAAAGAGCATGAGATGCCTTTACAATGCGAATGAAGCACTGCTCCCAAGAGTGAGTGGCAACATGACAGAAAGCATGACTGTTTCTATTTGGTAGCATGAACATGAATCTTTGCACAGATGTGTCCTAGTGCAATAAATGCAGCTAAGGATATTTGGCAAAGGACAAGGGTGTATGGAATTTTCTTTGGTTAAGCCCCTAAAAAGAAACATGAACTTCTGAGAAACAGAAGTCAATTAATTGATTTAACAAAGTTGGATTTTTAATAAATTAACTAGTTAAACTGACATTAAGAATAAAAATGAGTATTTGAGATGTAAAGATAAATTCTTCAGTTAAATGGAACTGTTTCAAACCCAAATTTATTATTAAAACCTTTATATCATAAAAAGAGACAAAGGGACAAACATGATGAAAAACCTCTAACTCAGTATCAACAGCCTAAAAGCAATCAGTTGGGCTACATGATCATCATAGGTCCCTTCCAACTGAACTATTCTATTCAATCACTTTTTGTCACGTGCATCTGCACGAAGTCCTTTGTTTCACTGAAATTTCTCTCAGAGTAGATTACTGACATTATTTTAATTTTCATGTAACAATACTAACTTAATATCATGACATAGTAAAATTATTGGCAAAAAGTGTTGCAGGAGTATTCTGTTGTACATACTGTTATGAATTCACAAAAATTATTAATTTAATTCAAAATTAACATATTATCAAGCATTGGTTTTTGATAAAGGGAATACTCACTCATATTAGCACACTTTCCTGGAATATGTGTCTTTATGGCAATAAGTACCTTTTACAGACTAAATATAAAAAATTATTTAGAATAAACACAAGCAAGAGGCTTAGAAAAAAATCTACTATAGCTTCTGTATTCATTGCCATGCACTCCAAACAATCAGCATAGCATACAAATAAAACCAGTATATCTTACTGTGCTTGATTCAGGCTGAAAAACAGCCAGTGTAAAATCAAGATTGAAAAAACGTAGAAATTCTGCAACAAGACCTGCTACCAAGCGACCTAAAAAGGAAATGAGAAGAGTAAAAATACACCAAACAGAAACAATACTTACTTCAAAGATTTAACATTAACTTGGCTTTGGTATAAACATCTACATTGATTCAACACTCCTACAAACATCATTTAGACATTCAGCAAACTACCACCACATAGCTAATTTGTATAGCAATTCCCTAATTTCTAACTCAGCCATCATATCAAAATTATTTAAGTCAGCAATACTGCAGGAGCATAGATAGAGTTTGATTAAAAAATTCAGGCATAAGATTTTTTTTTTTTAACTATTCAGCTGTTTTAAAGACTTTTTGGCATTTCTCCTATATGTGCATTCACTACTGTACCTCTACAGTGAGTTTTCACTGGTTACTGTTTCTACTGGTCTAGAATGGCTCTGAGTTAGCATAATCATAACTCATCATGAAATATTAATTTAAATGCATTGGTCTCCTCAGTTAAAAATACAACTTCAGCAATATCAACTTCAAAAATTATAGATTGAATTCTATTCTGAATGAATAGTAATTATGACATTTGACAGGAACAAAAGCATCCTTTATGTCATGAAGACTGTACTGTTAATAAAAGATTCAAAGATTTAATCCTTTGTTCCCTATTTTTATTGTTTTGAGAAGTATACTCAAAGAACTTACCATCTTTTGTACCTAAAAAACTTTTCAAGCTTTCATTTACCAGAGGTGTTTTGTTCTGTCAAAAAGCAAAAACCAAACAGTAATTAACATCATCCTCGTACTAACAAGAAATTGAAAACCATAGCAAGTTGGTGTTTTGGTGTACGCTGTTCCACAATTATGCCTGGCACATGTAATTCAGTTCTTCAAAAATATACCTTTGTATTAATTCTACTACCTACAAGTAAAAGCTGCAGAGCCATACATTTACTTAGGCAAATTAAAATTGTCTATGTATTTCTATTATAAAAGCTACAGAGCTGGACTAATTTCACCAAAGTTCTTAATAGCATACTGATCTTTATTTACTTAATGAATAAAAAGGTAAGTTAAGCAGGTAACTTCCCAAATTGTTCCTCTAATATAATGCCAAGTTTGTTTAAGGAAATTCAGTCCCACTTTTTAAAAAATGTGAATTTACAAATCATCTAGACAAAGTGTGGACCGTGCTAATTAGTGGTTCACAAATCAATACTAATCTTCTATTAATTAAAAGACCTTCAAATAGATTATGAAAATGTTTTTTCTCCCTTGTCA